GGGGTCTTTGTTCTCGCGTCCTGGCCTCCGGGATTGGGTGCGGCCTACCTGGCTCTTTGGGCGCTTTTCAGCTGGGAATCGCGATGGTATGAGTCCGGCCCACACTCGGACCCAGGAGCGCTGCAGCTCCCGGAGAACTGGCTGCCTGGGCGCAAGGCCAAAAAAAGATTTCTTAAAAATAGCAACCAATCCAGCAGCTGCTAGGTGATACAATGTAGAATAACATAAGATTGATTGACAGTTGATGAAAAGTTATGGATAGCACAAATGACAAAAAAAAAAAATCATATCATGGCAGAAAACTTCCCTGGTGGGGGGTGGGGGTGGTGGAATTGGACATACAGGGTAAGTGAGGTATGTAGAATTCAAATTAGCCAGGGACAAAACCAAACAAAAAAGAGATCTACAGCAAGGTATATACTAGTCAAGATTCTAGAAATCCAACAAAAGAACAAAATGTTAAAAGCTGTTAGAGAAAAGACATAAATATAAAGGAAAGCCCATTAGAATGACAGCAGACTTCTCAACACAAGCCCTCAAGTCAAGAAGAGCTTGGAGTAAAGTATTTCAAGCCCTAAAAGAAAATAACCTCCAACCCATAAATTCATGTACCCTGCAAAGCTATCTTTCAAAATTGATAGAGAAATAAGAACTTCATGACAAAGAACACCTGAGGAAATTCATGAACACCAAACCAGCACTCCAAAATTTTCTGAAGAAATACTTTATCTTCATAATTTCAGGTACTGCATCTTATCCTCTGCTAGTTATGAGGACTTTTACATTCATGGACATTCACTTCATGAGGACATGTAAAGACAGTGTTCCCACTGCTATCCCGTCCACTCTTTCTGTCCCCCAAGTACCAGGACATGGGTGCCCAGATCACATGGTCAGGGAAGTAGAGGCTCAGAGAGATAAATTTTGATTGAAATGACCAAGTCACAGAATACATTCATTGTGTAATCACAGATGTGAAGTTTAAAGATGAGTGAAGCTATTGACAGGATACATAGGTCTGGGCACAAGTACAAGACACAAGATTCAGTGCATTGAACACTTCCAGGGAGAGAAGGGCCACACGGGGTGCATAGGTCCCCATGGTGTTCTGCTCCTTCACCTGGGCAGTGTGTACACACACCATGTTTTAGTACTAGTCACATATGTGTTTGGCTTGCTTCTCCATGACCATGTTAGAAGCCAAATCTTTGTTTTAGTTCAAGCCAGCTACTTCTACCTGGACAGATACCTGTGCAGCATCTCTATCAGTTCTCCATCATTTTAAAGAATGGTTTGATGAATCTTCTTTCTTTTTTTAGTATGTTCATTTTCAAAGCTTACATTATCTTTATTTCAGGAAAGTTTTCTGTTTTTTAGTCTCAAAAGGTTTTGGGTTCTTTTGCTTTTGTTTCCTTCTTCAGAGACCTCAGCCACAAGCCCACAAGCATGTTGCATCCCTCTGTCTGCTTTCCCTATCTTTCCTCTTCTCTCTTCTTTTGTTGGTGTTTTATGCTTTGCTTTTATTTCTCTAAATTTGTCTTCTATACAGTGGTTTTCATTAGGAAAACCTGTTCTGTTCTTTATCTCATCTGCAATTTTTTCTTTTTATTAATACATGCTTGTGATACACAGTGATTACATTCAGTTTGGGAGTTTGATATATATAATATTTTTACTCCCCTCTCTCCCTCTGCCCACCACTCTCCCATTTCCCCCAGGACCCCATGTCTACTGAGACTATCTCTCTGTTTTTCAACATGCCTTTTTGTTTTTCTGTTGAAATTGTTTATATTTTGGGTTTCTCACATTAGAGATACCACCTGATGTATAACCTTTTGTGACTGACTTATTTTATTTAGCATTATGATCTCAAGATCCACTTTCCTATAAATGTCTCAAAAACTGTCATTTTTTCTGGCTGAGCAGTACTTTATCTTCTCATCTGTTGACAGGTGTATAGGCTGCTTCCATGATTTAGCTAATGTGAATTGTGCTGCTATAGACATGTGCATGCATGTATCATTGTTGTAGGTAGATTTAACCTCTTCTGGGCAGATATCCAGAAGAGATATATCCGGATCAACTGGAACATCTGTCTTTGGTTTTTTGAGCAATCTTCATACTGATTTCAAAAGTGCTTATACTAGTTTACATTCCCACGAGCAATGTATAAGGGTTTTTTCTTTCCCACAACTTCACCAGTGCTTCTTTTCTAGTCACTGATAATGATCGTTGTTACTGGAGTAAAGTGGAATCTCAGTAAATAGGTAAAGATTTATGAACATTTTAAAATGTATTTATCATTTGTATTTCTTCATCTATGAAGTGTCTATGCATTTCAATTATCCATTTTACATTGGGTCTTTTATTTTTGATGGTCTGATATTTTTGAGTTCTTTATATATTCTAGGTATTAATCCTCTCTGGTGAGTAGCTGGTAAAATTCTTTTCACTATGTAGCTTGTCTCTTCACTCTGTTGCTTGTTTCCTTTGTTGTGCAGAAGCTTTTTAATTTGATATAATTTTAGTACTGAGTGAAAGATGGATCAAAATTCATTCTTCTGCTTGTGGATAACCCATTTTCACAGAACCATTTGTTGAAGAGGCCATCTTTTCACCAGCATATATTATTGGCCCCTTGGTAAAAAAAAAAAAAAGTTGTCTGAAGGCGCTTGAGGTTGTTTCTGCATACTCTATTATATCCCATTGATCAATATGTCTGTTTTTGTGCCATACCATGCTGTTTTTACTACTATAGCTTTGAGGTATAACTTGAAGTCTGGGATTATAAAACCTCCTCCCTTGCTCTTGTTCTCCAGATTGCTTTTGCTCTTCAAGTGTATTCTGTTTCCATACAAACTTTGGAATTATTTTTTCTAGTCCTATGAGAAAAGCTGACAGTATTTTGATGAGGATTGCATTAATTCTATATGTTATTTTTGGCAATATGGTAATTTTGATGATGTTAGTTCTCCCTATCCAAGAATGGGATATCTTTCCATTTTCTAATGCCCTCTTCAATCTCTTTTTTGTTTTTTTTTTTTCCCAGAATGTCATGGTTTTCTTTGTAGAGATCTTTCACTTCCTTGATTAGGTTAACTCTGAGGCATTTAATTTTTTGAAGCTATTATGAATGGGATTGTTTTCCTGTTTTTTTTCTCAGTGGGTTCATTATTGATATATGGGAACACTACTGATTTTTGTGTTTATTTTGTATCCTACCACTCTGCTGCATTTATCAGTTGTAAGAATCTTCTGGTGGAGTTTTGTTTTGTTTGTTTTGTTTTGATGCTCAATGTAAAGGATCAAGTTATCTGAAAACAAGGATATTTTTGTTTGGGATTCCTTGTGCTAAAGCTGTGTGTTCAACCTTCTGCATTCCATGGAGCTGTGGAGCTTTATCATTTTATTGATACGGATTCTGGTTGTGTGTTGGATTAATGCCATATGGCTTTGTGATTCAGCAACTGTGATCAGAATTTCACCTGCGTTTCTCTTTTGTATTGCTGGGGATTGAACCTAGGGCCTCATGCATGCTAGATAAGCACTCTTCCGCTGAGCCACATGCCCAGCCCTGATTCCACCTGCTTTCTGGGGAATGTAGCCTGTTTTCAGCTAATCTTTGGGTCACAACATTTCAATCCAATGCCATACGGCTTTTGTGATTCAGCAACTGTGATCAGGATTTCACTTGCTTTTCTCTTTTGTGCTGCTATAGATTGAACCCAGGGCCTCATGCATGCTAGATAAGCACTCTACCGCTGAGCCACATGCCCAGCCCTGATTCCACCTGTTTTCTGGGGAATGTAGCCTGTTTTCAGCTAATCTTTGGGTCACAACATTTGAATCCTTATGCATCCATGCTTGGGAGCTGAGACACTCAGACCCTCAAGAGCAACGCCCTGTCTTGTAGCAAAGTGCTGCAGAGCATTGCCCCTTGCCCCTCATACTTCCCTTTCACCTTGGAGCAGTAGCTCACAGCAGTCTGAACTTGGACTTGGCTGTGCTGACTCCCAGTGTGAGGCTCTCATTTCCCTCTGGTATCAGCCAGTCTCAGATCTGTGCTGTTCTCCTTTCCAGGCAAACAGAGGAGCATTTCCTCCCTCGGATGTTGCAGGACCTGACAAAGCAGGTGAGTCCCACCTATGAAACTCATTTCCCATTAGACACCATCATCCAAGCTACCAGTAGGCCACGTGGGGCAGGGCCTTTAAGTCACAGAAAGCACCGCGGCTGGCATAAGCAAGAGGCAAAGAAGGGGGAGACTTTTGTAGTGAGAGTGGGGTCTTGGGTGCTGCTCCACCCTCCTCCCCCCTCCTCCCTTCTCTTCTCACCTTCCTCTTCTCTCCTGGCCTCCAGCTGGCCTTCCGTTCTTCTTTTCCTCCACATGACTGGAAATGGCCCTCTCCACATATTCTACATTTTCCATGCTGAGGAAAAAATGTCATGTCTCCATGGTGAGACCCCAGGGAAGGGATTCTGATGTCTCCATCTTGGTTGCATCTTGTGGCTGGGCTGGGGCAGGTGAGCCCACACTGCAGGTCAGCAGCTGTTATCTGGCAGCAGGTCAGAGGTGGCTTCTAGGGTGACTGTTCTGGGCCAGCGGCCCTGTTAGTGTCCATGGCATTCTGCTTCTGGCTGCATTGGGTGTAGGCATTTTCTTCATCACACAAAGTTGCCTGGCATGATCTGGCATTCCCAGAAGTCATGGGGCATCGGCGTCTTCCCAGTGTGCAGGAACCAAACTCAAGTCCAGCCCTCGTGGCCAAACCCCCATGCTGGGAGACAGTTATAGCACAGACTCACTCCAACATTTCTCATTCCATCCACATTTCTGCTCAAGGCCTGGCCTCCTGATGGTCACATCCTACATCACCACCCCACCCACCCTTTTGCCTCGTCTGCCCTATTTCCTGTCTTGGCTTCCGCCTGCCCCTGTATCATCATACTGAGAGTACCCACTTATTCACAGTCTAGCATCCTGCCTTCCTGGAATATATCCTGAGCTCGGTGGCTGGGCTCTTTCATTATCCGTGGATCTCAGGGACCCCACAGTACACGGAATGTGGCAGAGAGAGGGAATGAATGGATGGATAGACAAGTGTACAGACTTCGGAAGTAGCCTGAGTTTGTTTAATCCTCAGAAACACTGAGTTGGTTTTCATCTAACAGGCATGGAGGGGTTAAGTAACTTCTTAGAATTGCACAGTTAAGCAAAGGGGCCTGGGTCCCACTGCAGACTGTGCTCCTCATATAAATGTTCATTTTCCCACTCTTGTCCCCAGCCTGCCCTGGTGCAGCAGCTGAGGCCTGAGGCTGTCCTGTCTCCTGGCACTTTACTGGCCTGAGTGCTGCTAACCTACCTCTGGCCCAGTGTCTCTTCTTGCTGCCAAGGCCCTGCCCTGCTCTCCTTTCGTGGGGGCTGAGTCTGAGGCTTGACATTCTAAGCCTGGAGCTCCCTATGGAGGATGCTTCTCCTGACTCTCCTCACCTTGGTTCCAGCTTCATCAGATACCTTTCCCTGCAGGTCTTTGCTTACAAACACCTGTTACCAACATCTCCATGTGATATGATTCTGTTAACAAAAACTGAAGGAAATTAACAAAGAACATCCAGTTGAGGAATAAATTCATCATAAGGACTTCGTGACTATAATGTGGTTCCTCATAAGGACCTATTGAATCTCTGTGGGAGGGATCTACCTCACACAGGAACCAGTCCCCACCCATGACTTAGGCTCCCCCATCACAGTGGCGCATCTTGCATGCCTGGCCAGCAGGGGCTGCCTTGGGCTCTCAGCTGCAGGTCGTCCTCGTCACCATCCAGAAGCCAGATTGAGTTTCTGGCTGCAGTCCTGAGTTCCTGGGAGAGGCACTGTGCAGGGCCAGCTGGGCCTGGATTTAGCCAGGGTGACACTGGGGAAGGCGTCTTAGTCATTTTCCTGTTGCTAGGACAAAATGTGTGATACCCACAATTTAGAGGAGGAGAAGTTTATTTTGGCTCACGATTTATAGTTGGTTGACTCCAAGGCAGAAATGACATAATGGGAGGACTTGGGTGGAGGAAATCTGTTCAATCCATGGCAGCCAGGAACCAGAGAGAGAAGGGAGGAGCCCAGGACAAGACTACATCATTATAGGTCACGTGCCTGGTGGCCTACCTCCAAACCAGGCCCCACCTGCAAACAGTGGATGAATCTACCAGTGAATGTAGCACTCCCTTGAACCAATCATCTTCTGTGCATACATTTAGGGCACATTTTTTATTTAAACTATTACAGAAGAAGACTCTTAGCCAGGCCTGATCACCTCCCAAAGGACCTGGGGACTCTTCAGGCTGGGAATCATGGCAGGATGCACATTTTAACATCATCATCACCCCAAGCTCAGGGGTGTGTGTGTGTGTGTGTGTGTGTGTGTGTGTGTGTGTATAAACACTCCATTGGCCTGCCTGCCATGAATGCATGCTGTTGTCATTCTACTGTCCTTACCTTTCCTGGCCTATCTAAGAACCGCACAGCTGGGCCTGCTGAGCCAGAGCTACATACAGAGCTGTCTCTAAATCTGGCTGACTGCAGGTCAGGTTGCTGGAGTCAGCTCTGAGCAGAGGTGAACTAAGGTCAGGGATAGGTTCAGGAAAGGGGCCAATCTTCCAGTCTCTGCTCCAGCACGGACAGCCCAAAGTCCACAGATCAGTTTCCAACCATCATTTCAAATTCGTTACCAATTCCGCCTCTGCACCATTACACTGAGCCCTGGTACCATCATGGCAAGAAGCCTGGATCCCACCCCTCCCTGAGTAGACAGGCTCTCTGGGAGCAGAGTACAGTGCCTAGCAACTGGCCAGCACTGTGGTCCTGGGGTGAGGGCTTTCCTTGCATCCATAGCAAACAGTAACTTGTTGGTGGGAGAGATAGAGGAGAGGAAAGGGCCTGCATTAGTACTGTAGTCCCTGCCCTTGGCCATAAAGACAGTTGAACTCCTGTGCGTAAGGAACCCTGACCAGACCCTTAAGATACCTTCTAAGCCTCTTGATTATTTCTTGGCCAAACAAAGTGACACCAGCACTGTAACCTTGGCCTTGAGAGAGATGGCCAGGGCGGGCTCTACCTGGCATGTGCTAGAGGTGTCAATCTATATTTTACATAGGCCATCCTGCCCCCTGGTATTACTATCAGCCTCCACTAGTTTCAGTATTAGGGGCTGTATTAGACCCATGTGGCATCCAGAGGGGAGGCTCTGTCACCACCAGGGAAGCCCCATCACTTTTGACTTCAGATGTCTTAGAGACGGACAGAACTGCATTCTGCCTCTGGCCCTGCCACGCAAGAGCTGGGTAACTCTTTGCCACCTTCAGTTAGGTCATTTCTGCAAGAAGGATGAGAAGGCTACCTGATCATCCTGTCTAGTGAGTAGCAATAATGCTTACTGCTACAAATCACACTGAGTAATACTTGGTAAATGAGAGCAGTTATTATTAATAAAGATGATGAAGCTGGTGCTTTGTACCCATGGAAACTTCAAGAGATAGCTTTTCAAAGCTTGGGTTGTGGTCACGAATAGTGTGACTGGAACTCCCTAGGGAGAGAAGGTGCCGGGGGTGCTGGGCATGCCTTAGGGTATAGAAGGACACAAGGCAGGGCTTAGGACATATGGTAGCCTTCATGGAAGTGTCCTGAGGACATCTGGGGTCCTAGGTCCCTAATCTGGTGCTGTTTTCTTCTGACTGCAGGAAACTGTGCCCTTTGGGGATGCCGTGCTGGCCACCTGGGACACCTGCATCGGGAGCGAAGTCTGCGAGGAGCTCTGGACACCGCACAGGTTGGCCAGGTCCCCTGTGCTGTCAGCCCCATGCTCACCCAGGCCAGTGGCAGAGCTTGCACATGTCTTGGGACTGTGCGCTCTGGAGAGAGTGAGGGAGAATCCATCTAGTCTCTTCCCTCTGCCTGTCTCTGCCACAGCCCACATGTGGACATGGGCCTGGATGGTGTGGAGATCATCACCAATGCCTCCGGCAGTCACCACGTGCTGCGCAAAGCCCATGCCAGGGTGGACCTGGTGACCATGGCCACCACCAAGGTAGGCAACTCTGGAACTGCCAGACCATTGTCATTGGGAGCACTCTGAGCCTTCAGTGCCTGGGGCGGGGCCCAGCAAGCCCCGCTGCCCTCTCTTGGGCTTCACCTGCTCCTCACAACCACCTGTGAAACAGGCACTGTTTCTACCTCTGTCGTAAAGGGATCCAGAGACACCATCCACCCTAAGTGTCAGGAGATGCCCAGGGACCATCCATGCATCAGGGCTCTCATTCTGGGCAGATGGCTGTGGCGAGGGGCTGTGCTGGTCAGTCATTCCTGGGCAATGGCATCACGTAGAGCTTCAGCTGCTCAGGACCACGTCATGTCCTGGAGGGAAGGTGGTGCTGCACTGGGGTGCTGCAGAAGGAAGATTGTTTTGTTACTTAACACCTGGCCTCCCAGAGAGTATGAAAATCACACCTGCAGGCTCTGTGTCCCTGCCGGCTTGTCCTCTCTGTTGGGATGGGGATGCAAATGATGCGTGGGACAGAGAATAGGAGAGGGGACGATGGCACACCCAGGTGTCTGTTATTAGTGCCAGTGGCAAGTGAGGGTGAAGAACCACCACTGACAATTTCAATGTCATTTCTGCCTTTTTCAGAACGGAGGGATCTACCTGCTGGCCAACCAAAAGGGCTGCGACGGTGACCGTCTCTATTACGACGGCTGCGCCATGATAGCAATGAATGGGAGCATCTTTGCACAGGGGTCCCAGTTCTCTCTGGATGATGTGGTACGAGTGAGCGGGAACATGGTGTCGGGGAGCAGCATTTGCACCTTCCCTGTCAGTCCCCACGCTCAGAGGCTGATGTGCCTCCACACCCAGGTGTGTGATGAGAGCCCTATGGGTGAGCTGCCTGGACCGTTCCCCTTGTCACCTTGTCCCTGGGGCTGTGAGGATAGATGAACACATGGCAGATGAGAACTGCATATTTATTTTAGTCATCTGTATGCACAGCCTAGTGAGGAGGACCCTATGGGACGTGGGGCTGCCTGGACATGCACTCAGAAGCAGAGCAAACAGCAGGCATTGGGACCGGGTGTTAAGGTGACAAAGGAGTGGGAGCTGCCTGTTTCCTTTGCAGGCTGTGATGGGCTTATTTGAATGATTCTCAGGCCCACAGAGAACGGAGGCTCCCTGCTCAGGGAGCAGCAGGTACCCTCCTGGTCCTGTGATCGAGGGTCCAGGTTTGTTGGGGATCTCGTGCTCAGGTCCAGCATTTCTGGAGGATTTCTCTAGGGGTTGAGATAGCACTTGCTGGTGTGACGCCTCACCCTAAACAGCTCTGTGACTTGGAAGAGCAAGGGAGACCCCACAGCCCCAGTGGAGAAGGGCCCTCTGAACATGTGGAGGGCCAGTGGTGAGGACAGAACTGCATGTGGCTGGGGTGCTGCGTGTTCTGCTCATTGCTGTTACTGTACTGAGGGCTTGTGGGAGTGAAAGGTCAAAGGGATGAGACAAGGAAGAGACCAGAGATGGGGACCCAGCCACCCTTGGAACAGGGGTCGTGATCTTACGGGGGCTGCACATCCCTCTGAGAAGCTGATGAGCTACACAACATGCCACCTGTAATGATGCAGAGGTGCAGAATTTCCCTTATTTTATCACATTAGATGTTAATTTTCTTTACAGAGAAGAGACAGCAATGAAAGAGCCTCTAAGAAATTTGTGTCACCTTTCACTTTTGTTTTTCTGGAGGGGAAAAAAAATTCAAAAGGTCTGTTATTGTCAAAAATGGAAGCAGGTTGAAAATAGCCCTATTCCTCAATGCTTGGTACCAGAACTATTTGGGATTTCAGATTTTTTAGATTTTTAAGTAGCTGCCCATACAAAATGAGGCAGGGCAAGCGTGTAGCATGGAGTAGCAGATGCCCCAAGATTTGAGCCGAATATGTGTTGCTTCACGCCCTTTGCATCCACAGAGATGAGGTACATGTGACATTTTCTGCAGCATGGTAGGGTTTGTTAGCGAGGAGCAATTACCACTCCACCCTCCAGTTGCAAGTGGCCCCGGGAGAGTCACCTCACGAGGAATTCCAGGGAGTTTTCCTGCCTAGAAGCAGGCGAGCATTTGGTGGCCTTGGCTTTAGCCACTGAGATCTCTTCCTCTATCCTTGGAGGTTTTCTGGTTGTTCTTTGAGTTCTTCTTTCCAGGTAACAGTGTCCCAAAGGCTTCCTTGTTCAGTGTTGACCATAATATAGAGGGGAGGAAAAAGACAGGACATTGTGACCTCTTTTTAAAATTCCCTCTGCAGGAGGTCCTGACTGCCACGTTAGACCTCGAGGATGTGAGGAGCTACAGGGCAGAAATTTCTTCTCGGAACCTAGCAGTGAGTACTTAGTAGGGGCCTGCATGGCTGCAGGTCCAGGACTCAGAAAGTGTCCCTTCCACTGAGGGTGTGGCCAAGGCTGTGGGCCCAGTGTGATGGAACATGGAGGGTGTGGTTCCAAGAAAACCTGGGCTCCAAGTGCCCTCCCCCATCACCTGTCTGAGCACTGGGATGTCAGGCGTGTGTGGTAAGGTGGGGCAGCAGGGAGAGGGGCTGTAAGGTCCATTCAGGTGAGACTGCAACACAGGAGGGCTGACCAGCCTGGGAGCTTGGGAGGCCCTGAATTGGGGCAACAGTGAGGGGGTCATTGTGACTAGCTGGCAGCAGGCAGCCAAGGCTGACCCCCTGATAGAGTTGGGATAGTGTCTAGGGTGTGAGTGAACGTGTCCCAAACCCCTGAATGTGAGCATGGCCTTCATCTAACTAGGGGTCCTAGCTTCTCTGTAAGACTCCAAGTCACTTGTCATGCTACAACGATGTTGCAAACATTGCAGAAGTGTGAATCTCAAGATTACCAGGACCATTTTCTTAATAATAGCTCTACTGAGATGTAATTCCCCTGCCACACAGTTTACCTATGACGGCAAGTTTCTATCGTTTTTGCTACATTCGTGGAACTGTAACAATCACATAGTCAATGTGAGAATATTTCCATGCCCAAACAGGAACGGTGCCCATGAACAGCCACTCTTGTCCCCTTCCCTTGGCCTGGTGACCACCGATCTGGTCTCTATCTGAGGACCTGTCCATTCTGGACATTGTATAGGAATGGAATCAGACAATGTTTGTTGATTTATATCTGGCTTCTTTCACTTTCCAGAGTATTTTCCAGACTCATGAATGTTGTGGCATGTGTCAAGAGTTCATTCCTTTCTCAGCTGAATGTGTTCCATTGTATGGATGAACTGCAGTGTATTTACCCTTTGGACACTTAAAGCATTCATGGTTTTTTTCTGCTGTAACACTCATGGACAGATTTTTGAGTGGGAACCCACTTATTTTTTTTTTAATAGCTATGTTCAGGAGTGGAGTTGCTGATTCATTCTTATTTGACCTGAGAGGCTGACAGTGTTTTCCAGAGCAGCTGCCTGCTTTCTGTCCCCTCCAATAGCATGTGTGGTTGTGAGTTCTACACACCCTCACCAGCACTTATTACCACCTGTTGCTCTTGATTCGAGCTGTCTTGTCTCCTTGTGGGGCTAGTTTGTGTCTCCCACTGGCTGGTGGAGTCCCAGGCACCTGTGAAGGCTTCTGTAATGTGGGGATGTCACTCTGTCTTGAATGTCCAATAACAGGCCAGCAGGGTGAATCCCTATCCCCGAGTGAAGGTGGACTTTGCCCTCTCACACCATGAGGACTTGCTGCAGTCCATCACTGAGCCTGTGGACTGGAAATACCATACGCCTGAGGAGGAGATAAGGTGGGTGGCTCTTAGCTCTAGGGTCCCAGTGCTTGCATGGCCATCACCTTCCATCCAGTGATGCCACAGTTTGCACTGGGGTTGGGGGTGGCACAGAGTATTTGCAGTGAGTTACAGAGCGTTCCCCCAGGGGAGACCTTGGGCTCAACAAGCCTGTGCCTCATTGGCCTCCGCCCTGGCTCTGCCGTATCCTTGTGCTGTGACCCTGGCACAAAGGTTCTGTCCAGTGCATCACAGATTTCAGGAAGAGATAATGATAATACCCAATTGCCAGGTTGTCTTCAGACTAGAATGCTCTAATTCACATGAAGTGCTTATAGCACGAACCGGGACATGGCAAGAGCCTAGCCCCACTGAGCAGCATCTCTAGACTCCCTCCTGTAGGGGACTGTGCCTGGGGTGGCCGCGCAGGTACATAGTGAGCCAGGCCTCACTGCTCCACTCTCAGTACCCTGATTGCTCTGCAGCCTTGGACCTGCCTGCTGGCTCTGGGATTACTTAAGACGAAGCCAACAGGTAAGACATCCAGTTTCTAGCCAGCTCACTATGCTTTTTCTATTGGTTGATCTGTATCTAACTGTAGAGGAAACTCATAATTTTTTTTTCCTACATGCAGCTAAAAGCATTTATTCACTCTACGTTGGGGATGGGGGTGGTATCTGCATTAGTGAGAGGCCAGATGAGTGCAGCCCACTTCAGCTCCTTTGGAGACTTAGCAGAACCACCTAGATGTTCAGAGTTCACCGTCCTATGTTTTGCGGTTCTGCGCGTCTGTAGTTTGTCAGAAGAGAGTCAGCTATAGACAAGCCCCACAGTGAAGGTCTCTATTCCCTTAACCCTCTAGCACTTGTGGGGGATTTTTATCCCTCCTGGGATGGAGTTGACATCCATCAGTGGTTCTGTGGGTCCACATGGGGTTTGCTGGGCAGGGTTGGGCTAATCTCTGGATGTGCTGCTTCTCTGAAATTCTGCTAATACCGTGCTTGGTTGACCCATTTCAGGCGGGGTTTTTCCTGCCCCTGAGTGGTGGTGTGGACAGCGCAGCTACTGCCTGCCTTGTCCATTCCATGTGCCATCAGGTCTGTGAAGCGGTGGCGAGAGGAAGTAGGTGGCATCCATGGGCCCTTGGGAGCCCTGGGGTGGGGAGAGCAAAAAAGAGGGCAGAGGAAAACCCCAGGTTGTGGGCTTCGTGGCTGATGGAGGGTTTGTGGCTGTACCCATTGTCACATCGTGTTCACATCCCAGGGACACAAAAGCCCCTGCCTGGGGCATATACCTGATGTGGCCATGAATGGAGAGCTGAATCCACCTCCTGCCCTTTGTCGACAGTGCGGCCCAGTGAAAGAATAGAGGCTCTGTGGTTAGACACACCCTGTCCAATCATCCCCTGGTGTGCAGCGACATTGAAGACAGCATTAGTATGTGCAGGGGAACAGCACAGTGAAGACATCAGCTACCAGGGGTGTACCCTGGCCTGGCCATGCAGAAACCCTTGTGATAGAATTAGCTATGCAGATTCCCTGGTGATGGGCTGAGATTAGCCGTGCGGACAAGTCGTGCATAACATTGCCTTCTGCTTGGTCTCTCCCGGTGCGTTCAGATCAGGAAGTGTTGGCTGACATCCGGGCCATTGTGGATGAGAGCAGCTACACCCCCCAGCGCCCTCAAGAGCTGTGTGGACGCATACTGACCACCTGCTACATGGCCAGCGAGAACTCCTCCCAGGAGACGTGTAGCAGGGCCCGAGAGCTGGCCCAGCAGATTGGAAGGTAGATCAGCCCTGGTGCTTTGCACAACCTGGCACCTGTGACATGGATCAGGGCCACCGCCTATGACAGCTTCGTGTTCAGTATGGGTCTAGGAACTGATCTGTTTTCTACTTTCTCTTAATTTGGGTCAGATTTCAGGAAAACCATATGCTCCCAAGTCTTAGCCCTGGTACGGTTTCTGCTGTCTCTTCCTGCCACACTGCGACACAGGCAGGGCTGTAAGTCAGGTGTGCTCCAGCATGGGAGCACTGGGAGCCATCCCAGCAGAGAGACTCTTCCCTTCCCGTGTCACTTCCTCCAACCCTGGCTGCCTCTGCCACTGGAGAAGGTAGACAGAGTACTTTCAGGGAGGCAAGGCTTGGTTTCATTCCAGGCTTCCCGTTTGTTTGCCCCTTGGGAAAAAAGGAGCTGTCTGTTCAGTCTGCTGAGTGTAGCTAGAGCTGCCCCTCCTAGGTGTATACCCAGGAGAGTTGGAGGCAGGGACCCAAACACCTGAATAGTTACTTATACAGGAATGTCCTTAGCAGCACTATGCATAGGAGCCAAGAAATAGAAACAACCTGCCTGTCCTTTCAAAGTATAGTTTGTCTGTACAATAGAGACTTACTCTGTCATAAAAAATGAAACACTGATGCCTGCTGCAGCCTGGACAGACATTGAAATCATTCTGCTGAGTAAAAGATGCAAAGTCACATAATTGTGTGACTGCATTTGTATGAAATGTCCAGATTAGGCAAATCCGTAAGTTGAAGAAGCAGATTAGTGGTTTCCAGGGGCTGGAGGAGGTAGGAGCAGGGCATGACTATGAATGGGGCCAGTGTTTCCTCTTGGGTGGTAAAGTTCTGGGACTGGATAGCAGTAATGACTGCACAGCACTGTGAGTACACTAAAGACTGCAAACCACATACTTTACATTGGTCACAGTGGCAAGTGTTATATGTGTCTTCTACACATGCCTATATGTGTCTACACACACACACACACACACACACACACACACACACACTGCCTTCCATATTCCCCATTTTTCCTTCCAGCTACCACATCAGTCTCAACATTGACCCAGCTGTGAAGGCCATTGTAGGCATCTTCAGCCTGGTGACAGGGAAAATCCCTTTGTTTACAGCGCATGGAGGAGGCAGCAGGGAAAACCTGGCACTGCAAAATGTGCAGGTAAGGCCCCCTGAACCATGGCCATTATCCCTACCAGAGAGGGAAGGGACACTGGGAGCCCTGGCCACAGCTGGCGCTGGGTTAGCAGCATGGGTGCCTTACTAGACATTGAGCACACCTCCAGGTTTCTGTATAGGTGCAACTCTGTGTGGGTGAGAGAGAGAACACAAGGGTGTGTGTTAAGTGTGAGAGTGAATATGCACATGTTTGCATAAGTTTGAATGAAGTGTGTGATTGTGTGAGTATGCAAAATGTAAAAGTGTGCATCCATGTGTTTGTGTACATTAGTGTGTGAGCATGTGCACAAGTGTGAGTGAGTGTACACTGTGGGAATGTGCAAAGGTGAACATTTGTGTGTATGAGTGTGTTAGCAGGTCTGCAATAGTGCATGTCTGAGCATTACTGTGTATAGGGATGTGCGCAGAAGTATATGCATATGTGAGTGTGAATGTGAGTGTGCCCAAGTGCATAAGTGTATGTGAGCTTGTGCATGAGCATGGGAGTGCATGTGAGCATGTGTAGGAGTGAAGAAGCATGTACATGAGCATACGCAGAAGTGTGTGCATGAATGTGAGTGCCAGCAGGAATGTGAGTGTGTGTGTGTGCATTTCATCCACAGAAAATGCAGCCCTACTCTCTGTCCTGTGCTGCTGTGGCAGAAGTGGATGCTGCGCAGCAGTGGAAGGAGAAGAAAGATACTAGGTTGCACTGTGTGAGGCTGTTCCCCTCCCTGCTGTGCATGGTTCCCTTTTCCCCTCCTCTAGAAGCACCAGTGGTAAAGGGGTCAAAGTGAGGTGGCCGACTCTTTTCTGTAGCTTGCTGTCACTTGGTCCCACCACTGAGGCTACCTCCATCATCCTAGGCTCCAAAGATGGAGAAGCTGGGACCCTCCATACTCACATGGGTACTGCTGAGAACTTGAGAAATGCCTTGAGACTTGAGGAATGCCTTTCCTCTGAAAGCTGGAAAGCCCCAAACATTTCTGAGGCATTTCTGGGAAACCTTCCTCCTGACGTAGAATGGAACTGTGGTGCAGCAGCATGTACCCTCCTGTGTTCCCTCTGCAGGGTAATTCTTTCTTCCTGCTGTGTTTTCCAGGCTCGGATCAGGATGGTCCTCGCCTACCTGTTTGCCCAGCTGAGCCTCTGGTCCCGGGGTGCCCGTGGGGGGCTTCTTGTGCTCGGATCTGCCAACGTGGATGAGAGGTGTGTGTGGCCCCCCCTATGGCAGGCTCCTGGGATCCTGACTACCTCAGGCAGTGTTCCCACAGCAGTGGTCCTCAGTCTTTTGGTACCAGGGACTGGTTTTATGGAAGACAACTTTTCTACAAGCTGGGATTGGGAGATGGTATCAGGATGATTCCAGCATGCTGTGTTTATTTCTTTTTTTTTTTTTTTTTTTTTTTTTCGGTTTTTCTCCGGTACCAGGAACCGAACTCATGACCTTGCGCTCGCCAGGCAGGCGCTTTTGCCGCTGAGCTAAATCCCCAGCCCCATGCTGTGTTTATTTCTATTATTATTACATTGGAATATCTAACAAAATAACTACATAACTCACCATAATATATGATCAGTGGGAGCCCTGAGTTTGTTTTTCTGGAACTAGAGAGTCCCATCTGAGGGTGATGGGTGTCACTGACACCTGAAGTGTGTTGCCTATGTCCAGTCTGCTCCATAATCTTATTTTGGTTGCTATTACTGCAGAAAACTCTGCTTCACAAAGATAGAATGCTGGAAATGGAAGCAGCTTTTTCAGTGCTTCTGTAGCAATTTCAGGATATTTTGCCTTGACTTTAATCTAGAACATATGGATATATGAAGTTATCTCAAACATACTTTGAAGGGCACTGTCATTTGCAATCTCAGGCAGTTCTTCTTCTTCTAACACAGATGAAATTGATTCACCTGGCTTATTCACAAATGTCTCATGGATCCATTTCTTCCCAGTTTGGGGGTCTTTTGTGGTTGGGAAGTAAGGCTCAAGTTCTTTTGAAAGATGGGATAGGTAATCATGCACCAGCAGGGAGAAAGAAGGCCCTGGTTTAGTCTCCTTCAAAATCTCTGCTAATGTTTGAAATATGTAAAAAAAAAAAATTGCAGGGTTCACCATTGCCCCATAACTCCAGTTTAGCTTTGAATGCAGCCACTTTATCTGTCAACTTGAACACAGTTGTCGTTCTCCCCTGAAGTGACAGATTAAGTTCATTGAGCAGGTTGAATATGTCACACAAACAAGTTTTGTGACCTATTCTGTGTCACTGAAAGATACTGCCAGTGGTGACTTTTTCTAAAAGAAATCTATGGAGGGGGATGGGGATTTAGCTCAGTGGCACAGCACCTGCCTGGCAAGCGCAAGGTCGTGAGTTCAGATCCCGGTACCAGAAAAAAAAAACAAAAAAAAAGAAAGTTCTCATGACTCAAAAACTCTGGCTAGTGATATTCCTTTAGAAAGCCATCTCCCTTCTGCATATAAGAGAAGATATGTGCGCTTTGCATCCGTTTCCTCATAGAGCTGCATGAACAGACGTGGATTTTAGTCACATCCTGCAAAACATGGTTAAATTTAGTTGATATTTCTGGCTAGCCAGACTTTCTGTATGGATGATACAGTCATGGACTCACATTCACAAGTGATCTGTTTGACCTGAGTAGTGAAACCAGAAAGTTGTGCAATCATGGCAGCTGCTCCTCCCATGCAAATACTGACACAACATGACCATTTCAGTTTTCTTGATATATAATCATTTGAAGACTTAAATAGTTCTGAAGTTACGATGTTGGTTGGCCACCAAAGTGCACCTAATGTGTGCTCGTGCACATCCTCCCAAAAAAGAGATCACACAAAAACAAGCATTATTGTCTTGTTATCAACATTGGTAGACTCATCAACCTGGATTGTCTACCACAGTGGCTCAGTAATCCTCTCTCACAATTGTTCCTCAGTACCCTTTGCCGTTTCATCAGTTTGTCTAGGTATGGTGCTAGCTGAAAGAGGAACATGTGCCACCTTTTCAGCCACAGCCTCTCCTAAAAGTTTACAACAAATGTCTTTAGCAGCAGGCAGGATTGCCCTCCACCAGTAGTAAAGAGCTTCTTAGATTTAGCAATGCAGTTATCCACTAAGAATGATGCTCTCATTGCAGACACACTGGATGAAGTGATGGCCTTCAGTAATTTTTTCTGTTCTTCATGTCCACATTTTTTTCTTTGGAAACACTCCAAAGCCTTGTCTTTTAATGCAGGGTGCTTTGTTGTCACATGGAGAAGCAGTTACGAAGGTTTCACGCACGGCTTTGTTGGATAGCTGGTTTGCCACATAGCTGGTTTACATTGGGAATGTAAACCACCTGTTGGAGTGAACCAGTAATTTTCAGTAGCACTCTTGGTACTTCCTTTCAAATGCAGCTTTGTTTTTGTTGCCAGTCTCGCAATCTTCTGCTGTATCATCGTTAGGTCTTTCCCCCCTTTTCAAAGCAGCTTTCCAGGGGCATTTGCTTTTGACTCATTTTGGCTAGAGTTAGCTTACAAAAACTGAGACTGAAAAAAGTGTGCAGTGTAGGAAAGAAGTGCAGGTGGAAGTGGTAAATAAAATAATTGGTGGGCAGATGCATCGACTAAAATAAGTGTTCGTTTCTGACTCACATCCTGCTGATAGATGCAACTTAATTGTCACTTGCCAATAACTGATAGAATCTGGATATGAATCTGTAAGAAACTGATTTACTATGGTCCCTGTACAGTCAAATTTCTCTGTTAATTTTAATCTGTATTTGAGCCAGTTCTCGGTGCTAGCCTCACAGCGTCAGCTCCACCTCACATCATCAGGTGTGGCATTCTTATAAAGAACATGCAACCTAGATATCCCCTCATATGTGCATTTTGTGGTAGAGTTTGCTCTTCTATGAGAATCTAATGCCGCCACTGATCTGACAGGAGATGGAACTCAGGTGATAACGCAGGCAGTGGGCAGCAGATGTAAATACAGATGGAACTTCCTTTGCTTGCCTATTGCTCACCTCCTGCTGTGTGGTCTGGGGGTTGGGGACCCCATCCTACAGTGTCTGGCCAGTTCATGTCATGTCTGTGAGATATGCAGGGAGAAGATTCATGGAAGTTTGGTACCCATGGCATCATTGTTTCTGCAAAATGTCAGGATGACTGGAATATGCAGATTACACTGGTGTTGCTTTCTCTCTGACTCCTGCCCAACCCATCCCAGAACTACCTGTGTTATCCATCCTGTGGTCCTTCGTTCGTGTGACCAGTGTGACTCCATCCCCACTACCCATGTGTGGGCTTGCTTGTTTCTCCTGGCTTCTCCACTGCGTCTCACGTCATTTCTTTGCATCTAATTTTCCGCTCCAAACCAGATAGTTCATTTTGATGTAGACTGAAAATATTCTCTTTCTCATTGTACTTGCTTGTTCAAAAAAATATATAGAGACTCTCTCTGGTCTCCAGATAAAATTCAAGCTGGCCTCAGGTCTAGCAGTGGAAGATGGAAGATCTTTCTCAGACTCAGTTTCCCAACTTCACTGAAGCAAGCTTCCCTGCCTCTCAACTGTTCTTTTGGCTGTTCTTAGTTTCTTGTTGTTAGCTGAGAAAATTTTAAAACTTTGCCATTTATTGATCTATCTGTATGTCAGCCAACCCACCCACCTGTCCATCTATATATTCATCTGTCCATTCATTCATGCATCCAAGCACCCACTCATCCACCTGCCGATTCACCCATCCACTTGCCCATGTACCTGTCCTTTCATCCGCTCATCCATCCATCCACCTGTCTATCTACCCTTCCACCCTCCCACCATACACCCACCTATGTACCCATCCTTCCATATTTTTATCTGTAATGTGTTGTACTACTTCTACACCTTGTATGTTGCAAATGTATTCTCTTTTAAATTTTATTTTTATTTACTTGTGGATCATATGTTATTTCTCTAATGATAATGTGAAGTTAACACACTATATCTGGTAAAAATTCTCACCTTCTATGTCTAGTTTATTAATTCTCCTTTTGCCTTCAGTGCCTGCATATAGCATTACTTTTGACAGGGATGCAGTGGAATGGGATATGTTCTGAGCCCTGACATAATTGAGAATGTAGTTTTACTTTTGTAGATGAACAAGGATTTGACCTGTTGGGAAATTATGTTATTATAACATTTTCTCCTCACAACTTTCACCCATTGTATTTTGGTATTTAAAATTTTACCAAAAATTAAATATTATTCCCTGAGTGGTTGCACTCTGAGCATGTATAGATTTTAGATGTGTATTTAGAACATAAAGAAACATATAACATCTGTTAGACATTCCTCTCTTTTTATCATCTTTCACTGCCCAGCCTTTCTCATGAGTGGACAGGTTCTCTAAGATTGAGAAAACTTTTCTTCTATTATTACTTTGTTTTTGTTTTTTTCCGGTACCGGGAATCGAACTCACGACCTTGTGCTTGCCAGGCAGGCGCTATGCCACTGAGCTAAATTCCCAGTCCCTTCTTCTGTTATGTTTTAATTGTGCTTTCTCTGTCCTGTTGGCTTCATATCTGTGTTCTATCTGTGTTTTCTGCTTTCCCCTTCTATTCATTCCATATACTCTTCTCATTCAATATAGTCATTCCTATTTTTCTTTATATTCTGGGATAGAATCTCAAGTTTATAACTTTCTGTAGTATTTTAAGATTTTTCTTTTTCTAATTCTGTTTTCTGATTGCTTATAATTCTGACTTTTAATTCAGTTGCATTCTGGTGTGTTCTTTCATCAGGTACTTGTTGAATAACTGTTGTACTTCAGGGGTTCCTCTTGGTATTATGAGTAGAACAGAGAAATAGTTCCTGTGTTACTTTATAGAAGCAAACAGATAATAGCAAAACTAATAGCATATATGTCAATGAAATATCTGCAGAGAAAACCAACGTAGGGAAAAGGAGCTTGGGAGTTTTGTGAGTTTGTAGGTCTAAGTTTGGTCAGGGAGGCCTCACTGCGAAGTGGTTTTGTAAAGGCCTGCAGGCAGTGAGGGAGGGAATGTGATTCAGATATAGCCTGTGCAAAAATCCTGGGGTACAACTGTACCAGGGCTGAGGACCAGTCCTAGGATCCCAGGGATGCCTGATTTCTCAGAATGGGGGATGGGAGACCTGCTAGGGCATATTCAGGGGAGTGTTCAGAGACAGGTCTTCCAGAAGTTGACTTTGGAGGGTAGCGGAGGTGAAGGATAGTAGCTGGGTGAGTGTGGCAACCAGGGCAGGCCCTATCTGATATTCAGATGCTGGTGTGACAGGGCCAGCAGAGGGGCATTGCTGAGGGGAGATGAGAGTGGGACGCAGGCAAGGGCTGGTTCTGCAGAGAGCCCACCAGTGCGCCCACAGCAAGGGGAAGGCTTTGGGAGAGAGAGGATGAGACAGTACGCTGGAGACAGAAGCATGAGGGATTTGGGAACTGAAGCATGCCTGCAGGTGGGCCGTGGCTTACTCTGCAGCCAGAATGGGGCAAGCTGGGGCCAAAGCAACTGAAGATGACAGAGAAGTGAAGGGTTGAAGACACGCAGAAGACAGATGGAAAGGGACAGCCATGAGAGACAGGGTATATAGGGTCTAAGGCCCTGGTGACCCAGGCAGTACAGAGACCTAGTGAGAGATGGGCTGGGAGCTGGAGCACCAGCATGGCACAGAGGCACCCAGCAGTAACCCAGGGGTCCAGTCAGAGAACACAGTGGCCTACGTAAGAGCTGTTGGCCAGGGGGTGGATGGAAAGGAACAGATCTGCTGCAGAAGCCTGGGGTTCCCTCTGGCTGCTGGGACAAATGGCTGCAGAGTGAGTGGCTCGGGCTGCGCAGATTGTTGCTGATGGTTCAGTAGGGCAGATGCCCCACAATTCTCACAGCTCAGTCCATACCGTGATCTGGTGGCTCCAGCAAAATCAGTCCTTGCTTACCCAGTCTCTGGAGCACACATTAATCTCATGGCCCTTCCTGCATCTTTACAGCCTGTGGAGGCACCTTGCTGCCTGACCTCTGTGCATAGCTGTCTCTCCCATCCTTCATCCCCTGCCCACCAAGGGTCTTGGTGGTTACAATTTTCTCCTTCCATGTAATCCAGGACCATCTACCATCTCATCTTCAGCTCAGTCCACCTACAAAGCCCCTTCTGCTGTGTGAGGGGACATATCCACAAGCTCCAGGGTATCTACTGCCACTCAGGCTGAGCTCTGTGGGTACTGTGGTCCCACCTCCCACTCAGGGACCTCTGTCCCTCAGCTCCACCCACAGGCCCTGACTCCACCTTCTAGGTAGCTGGGTGCTGGAGATGCCCTACGAATGCAGCCTTCTCCTGGAACCTGGAGTCTGCCAGGCTTCTAGATTCTAGGCTTCTGGAAGAAGCAAGTCTGCAGGTGGCCAGAGTCAGATCTCCTTCTCTCTCTCCCTTCCCCTGCCCCTCCCCTTCCTTTCCCCTCTTCCTCTCCCCTCCCCTCACAGTCTCCTCGGCTACCTGACCAAGTACGACTGCTCCAGTGCAGACATCAACCCCATTGGCGGAATCAGCAAGACTGACCTGAGAGCCTTCGTCCAGTTCTGCATGGAGCACTTCCAGCTTCCCGCGCTGCAGGGGTGAGTGTGCACCTACTGGGCTGGGGCTGCAGCTCAGGCTACCAGGCACCTTCCCTCACATGACCATCGTGCATATTCCCGTGTCCCCTGGTAAAAGCAGCCCCCCTTTCTCCATGTTCCACAGCCAGGCCACCCTGTCTGTCATCGCCTGGCCAGATGGTGTGTCTGTATCTGACTCTGCCCTTGCTACCTCTTTCCCACCAACTTGAGGCAGAAGAGACCCTGCAGGCACCTGGTGCCCAATGATGTTTCTTCTTTTCTCCTTTCTTTCCCATTATTGGGGCTCGAACCCAGGGCTTTTCTACTGAGCTACATACCCAGCCCTTTATTAATTTTTTTTATCTTGAGATAGGGTCTGGCTAAGTCACTAAGTTGTCCAAACAGCTCACACTTGCTATCCTCTTGCCTCAGCTGGGATTACGGGTGTGTACCACCATGCCTCGTTTGAGTTGTGTTTTGTTTTGTTCTGTGGTACGGGGGATTGAACTGAGGGCCTTTACACTGAGCTACATCCCCAGCCCTTTTTTTATTTTTTATTTTGAGACAGGGTCTCACTAAATGGCTAAGTTATCCGGGCTGGGATCCTCCTGCCTCAGCCTCCCAGAATACTGGGCTTACAGGTAAAATTTATTTTTAGACAATGTAATATGTGATGACTTAATGAGTTAAATAGCCCTGGAGAGTTTATAACAACAGCAAAGCAATCCGTGTCCCAGTTTTCCTTACTCCAGATTTCTGATCTCTCTAGGTGTTGTAAATATTAACTTTATAATTTTTTATTCTGGTGTTCACATCTTCTTCTCTTTTTCTAATTTTTAATTTTTTGTTTGTTTGTTTGTTTTATGAGACAGGGTCTCACCATTTAGTCCAGGCTGGCCTTGAACTCCATGACAATCCACTTGCCTTAGTGCCCTGAGTGCTAGGATGGCACCACACCTGGCTCCTAACTGTCTCTCCATTGACTTAATATCTAGAGCCAGTCTAGGCCTTTCCCACATTGTTCCTGCGTGGGGAACGTCCTTCACCTCACTTGTCTTCCCTGGGGACTTAGAGTTATCATGAAAGGATAGATTGCCAGCCCTGGTGGGTAGAGGCCAGGGTGCTCCTAGGCATCCTGCAGAGCACAGACAGCCATCCAGCCCCAGTGCCCACAGACAGACGCTATGCTGTGCCTCCCATCAGGGTGTGGGTCCGGGGTCCCCCCGATGACAGTGAGCATGGCAGCACTCTGGTGACTGTCCTCTGTGTCTCTTGGTCACAGCATCCTCTCAGCGCCAGCCACCGCAGAGCTGGAGCCCTTGGCCGACGGGCAGGTGTCCCAGACAGACGAGGTAATGGGGCGGCTCTGTCATGGTGTCTTTCCCCCTTCTCCCTGGTGCAGAGGGTCTCCTGTGCTCAGTGTGACCTTGGAGAAGATTCACTCCTCTCCTGTTTCACACTAGCCTCACATCATGGGGGCTGCCAGCCATGGTGCACAGCTTTCATGAAGGCTGGAAGGAGTCGCCGGGAACAGACCCTCGAGCCTCCTGTTGAGCACAAAGATTTCCCTCTGTATTTTCTTCCAAAAGTTCTAACCCTTACATTTAGGTCTGTGATCAGCTCTACTTTATTCTTATGCCTTTGTAGGGTTGAAGGGACTTTTCAAGGGATTTTTTTTTTTTTGTCAGTGCTAGGGATGGAACCCAGAGTCTCAAGCATGCGATGAAAGCGCCCTACCACTGAGCCACCTAAAGCCCACTTTGTAGGGTGCGGTGTTTTAGAGCTCACAGTGGGGTGAGGGCTGTTCGGTGCTGCTGGGCTGTTGGTCTGCAGTGTCCCTTAGCCTCTGACCTTGCTGGCAGTGTCTGTTGGCCTGTTATCAAAAGAGCAGTATTGAAGTCTCCACCTGCTGTTGTTGAATTGGGGAAACTAAAATGTCACACTAGGAAACCCCAACTTCGTGTAAAGATACCAGGAATGCAGCTTCTTGTACCAGAACCTGTTCAGTGCCAGGGATTCCATGCGGAGAAAGATATGGCCACTGCTCTTAAAATGCTGGAGTCCCCTGGAAGGGAAAGACAGGGATTTAACCATGATGGCCCCACAGGCTGTAAGTGCTGTGAGTGTGTTAGAGACAGAGGTGGTAGCAGCATTCTTAGGTGTGGGTCAGGACAGGGCCCTGGGAAGATCACATTGGGACTGAGGCCTAAGGGAAGGCCAGCCTGACCAACTGGGCCACAGGCAGCCAAAGGCCACGTCACTGAGGGTCCTACAGGTACTGAGCAGAGGCAAGGGCCCTGTTGCTGTGGATTATTGGAGGCCAGCGTCACTGTCTCTGTGGTGATGCTCTGGAGCTCGGCAGGACTGAGAAGGAACTGGGCAGCTATGACAGTGGAAAAGGCGATGGCTGGTGTGAGCCACGGTATGGAGTGGACCCTTCTGAATGTGGCTTGAAGCATTCATGGTCTGGCTCCATGCAGTTGGCAGCATTTGGTGGCTTCTAATATGGTCCACATTTCTGTGAGTTTGTTCCCTTTTCTCTGAGCCTTCCACACTTCAGGGAAGAGGGCTCAGGAGGGCCGGAGACAGGGTCCATCTGCTCCATTAGTGCTTGTGGCTACCATAACAAATGGCCACAAAGCAGGTGACTTCAGGCAGTAGGACTGCATTCTTTCCCAGTCCTGGAGGCCATGGGTCTGACGCCAACATGTGGGTGGGAATGAGGTCCCCATGAAGACCTATGGAAGGGCCCTTCTTGCCTCTCCTGGCTTCTTGAAGCTTCAAGCATTACTTGGCTTGTGACCACGTCACTCCCATCCCTCCTCTTCTCCCTGTGTTTCTCTGATCCTTCATCAGGACACTTGTCTTTGGATTTAAGGCCCATCCAGTGTCTGGGGTCACCTCATCTCAAGGACCTTAACTTAATTACAGCTATAAAGACCCTTGTACCACATAAGGTCACAAGAACCTGTACTCAGGAGATGAACATGTAGGACCGCTTCAGTCCTCAAACCCGGTGTCTGGTTCTTGGTCATTTTTCCAAATCATGACTCATGTTTGTCCAACCAGTGCTGGGAAGTGGGGCTGACATCTGCTTCAGGCCCTAGGGAGTCTCCTCATACACCAAGCCTCTGGTTCCCACCAGGGAGCCCACCTCCCTCCCGGCTCTGGCTCATGGTGTCCTGGAATGGCTGTCTATCCTCCACAGGATGACATGGGAATGACGTACTCAGAGCTCTCAGTATACGGGAGGCTCAGGAAGATAGCCAAGGCAGGGCCTTACAGCATGTTCTGCAAGCTCCTCACCATGTGGAAGGACATCTGTACCCCAAGACAGGTAAGGTACACATGATGTCCTGCAGACGAAGGCCAGCAGGCATAGCCATGTGTGCAGCTGTCTACTGGGCCTGCTGGAGCAAGTGAATGCCATGCGACCCCAACACAGCAACCCTGTGTCCCATGCAGTAATACTTCCCAGTAGTTGCTTTTCACTAGTTCAGCTCCTCAGTTTGCCCCGAGTTAACTTGGGTGAGGCTCAGCCACACCAGGGGCACACACACACCAAGCCCCTGCTTTTGTGAGGGCAGCGTGGAGACTTTGAGGTCAGAATATGGCATTGCTACTCTACTGTTAGTTGTGAGCCTTGTTAGGATGGAAGTGTACAGATGTGCTGGCCCCAGAGCACCTCATGAAATGTGTTTGCAGGCCCACTCAGGTCTCCTGAAGCGGAGCGGTGGGGTGGGGCCCAGGGACTCCACGGTCTTACAGCTCAGCCAGCCATGCGCCCCAGGTCTGGCACTGTCCACTCCTGCCACCAGGAAAGGCCACCTACAGGGTTGTCACACCCTAGCTGCTTTCTTACATTGCCCAATGTGAGTATTCTGGCCTCAGGTCTTTCTGGATGGACTTACTTCAAAGCTGTGTGTCATCCTCCCACCAGGTGGCTGACAAGGTGAAGCAATTCTTCTGGAAGTACTCCGTGAATAGACACAAGATGACCACGCTCACACCTGCATATCATGCGGAGAACTACAGCCCTGACGATAATAGGTTTGATCTGCGGCCCTTCTTGTACAACACACGCTGGCCATGGCAGTTCCGGTGCATTGAGAGTCAGGTGCGTCATGCCAGGTGTCTTTCTCTGCGTGGAGCATACATGAGCTTTGGGGGTTGAGAGCTTTTCTCTGCACATAGAGGCATATTTTACTATACTTATTTCTGTGAAGGGGCAAATATATTTAAAGATTTTTGTTTTCTAATTTATTTTTAATTGACAAAAATTGCCTATATGTGTTTACGGTGTACAGCATGATGTTTACAAATATGGTGTGTGATTTAAAATATAGTATTTAATTTTTTTAATTTATGCAATAAAAACACATTGCCATTAATCCCCTCAAAATACTCCCCCTCACTTAAAACATACTGAGCCCATCATTTTTGCCACTTTCTGAAGCAGTTCTGGAAGTCTTTTTCCATGAGTATCTTTTAGTTGTGCTGTCATGGCTGCCCAGTGTCTTGAATTAGTTCAAAATGTTTATCTTTCATGGTGGTTCTGGCTTTGGGGAAGAGCAGGCATTACTTGGTGCCAGATCCAGTGAATAAGGTGGATGAGAACACACTGTAATTTTGTTTTGTTTTCTTTTTTTTTTTTAACCCCTGCCTCTCAGCAAGAGCAGTTAGGATTTTTGACCTAAGTTCATAAAGACCCTCATGAAATTGAACTTCCAGAACTGCTTCAAAAAGTGGCAAAAGCAATGGATAAGAGTGTTCAAAGTAGGGGCGAGTATCTTGAGGAGGATTAATGGCAGTGTGCCTTTTGTTGTAATAATTTTTTAAAACATTCACCATATCTTTTAATCAGCAGTTGTATATATACATTGTGGAGTAGGTAAATCAAACTAACATATGCATTACCTCACTTTTCGTGGTAAGAACACTTGAAATCTACTTTGGTCACAATTTCCCAGTGTACAATGCATTGTTGTTAGCTACAGTCACCATATTGTGCAGTATATCTCTAAACTTATCCCTCTGCCTAACTAACATGTTGCATCCTTTGACCACCGTCTCCCCAGTACCTCCCCTTTAGTCCCTGGGGACCACAGTTCTACTCTCTGCTTCCAAGAAAGAGTATAGCATCTCTAGATTCCATGTATGAATGAGGTCTGGTGACGTTTGTCTTCCTGGGCCTGGCTTGTTTCACATAGCATAATGTCCTCTTGGTTTGTCAGTGTCATTCGAAACAACAGGATTTCCTTCTTTTAAAGGCAGAATAGTATTCCACTATATAGATAAACTGTGTTTTCTGTAGCTGTGCATCCATTGGTGGATGCTGAAGTTGCCATCTCTTGGCTGTTATAAACAGTGCTGCAGTGAACATGGATGTTCACACATGTGGATCTCACTTCCTTTGGGTATATCCTCGGGTCTGGAATTGTTGGAGCATATGGGAGATCTGTTTTGTAATTTTTAAAGGAGTCTCCATACTGGTTTCCATAGTGGTTGTGCTAACTTACAAGTACATCTGGAATGAATGGGAATTTGGCATGTGCTGTTTTGACCATGCTGTATTTACTATACTTACTGAGTGTACTAAAGTTAGTAGCTGTTTATCACTTTAGGAAAGTGGTGCCAGTCACTAACACTTCTAAACAACTGGAGCATCCGGATGGCTGTGCGTCTTCTAAACCACCCCGTCTTCCCTTTTACTAATTAATTAATAATAGAATAAAGGGAGGACTAAGAAAGTCAATACAAAATCAAATGTAGGCCCTCCCCTCCTTCCCTTTTTTAGACCCAATGTTGATCCCCAGGGAACAAACTAGATGTGACCCCTTCCTAGCCCAGGCGAAAGGCCAGCTCGTTGCCCTGGGTCTGTATAGACAGCATAAAGATGGTGACTTGTAGAGAGAGCTCTGTGCAGCTACAGAGCTTGAAGGGCCGGAGGGGCCTTTGACAGTGTGACAGTCGGCAAGTACCCGGAGCAGCTGATGTGCAGACTGAGGGTGGGACCAAGGGGACACTGTGTGCCATCTCCAGTGCTGATTTGCCCCCTAGAGGCATCAGGCGATTGCCGGGAATACTTTCAATTGTCACAGTAGGGTGAGTTCGCTGCTGCTGGCATCTAGTGGGTAGAGTGCAGGGGTGCTGTGGATAGCCTGCAGTGCCAGGGATGCCACCCCGACCCTCACCCAGCAGAGAGTGACCCCAACCCTCATGTCAGGATGCTGAGGTTGAGGACTGGCCCATGACGTTGAGTCCTTGGGGATACTTATTACAAGGAGATTCTGTGTCCCACTTATTTGGTGGAAGGCAGTTTCCTGGCTGAACGACTTGGAGGAGTCCAATAGAAGTCAGTGGGAAACAAAGGGCCGGACAGGGGCTGGGAAAGGTGCACCCCCACTGTTCTTGGATGAACCCCACACCTTGCTCGCTGAAGCAGCGAATGTCCACCTACTGGGCCATTTGCAGCCCAGCATCACTCCAGGAAGGGGACAGCCCAATCTCAAGGACAGGCTGGACACTGGGCTGCCCAGGGTGGGAAGCAAGAGCTTTGCCCGACTCTGGCTTCTTTAGCAGTTCAGGGCTTGGCTCCTACCCAGAGATGGATAGGTGAAAATAAAAACGCCTGTCATCTTCCCATACCCCGTGACCTCCAGAAAGATACCGAGGCTTCCTCTTTCCCATCCCCACTGTGGTTTCAGCAGATATCATTTGGTAACTTGGGTTCTCAGTGCCAACCGTGAGGCCATTGGGCCACTGTTCATGGGCAGCACAGGTGTTGAATCTACGTGGTGACTGTTCATGGACTTCTCTGTCTAGGTTCTACAGCTTGAGAAGAAAGCAAGGCAGGATCTGAATGGCTAAGACTGAGGGTCACACCTGCCTGAGGCCTCCCTTCCCTGGGATCCTTAGTGTGACGTCAGCATAACTCGAGGCCAAGGGGAGCTGCACCTGAATCAATTTTATTTCATGTTTGGAACAAGAGAGGTCTTTTCATTGTAATTCCTGCAAGAGGAGCTAAAATAAACGGAGTATGTTCTTTAACCCTGAGGGGGAGCCCTGCTTTTCTACCTGCTTCAGCCTGTGACTGCACCACAGCCCTCAAGGGGTGGGAGGTGCTTCAGTGCCATCATTACAAGGGGATCCTGAGCAGAAAGCTGGAGAACCTCCTTGCCGACTCATCCCTGACTTCCTGACCTGCATTCCAGAAGGTTCCAGACATGGTCCCTGCAGACCCTCCTTGCTATAAATCTGGAAGCCACTTGTTCTTATACCTGTTGTGCAGGAAAATACCTGAGGTCCTCATGACTGAGTGTCCCCATCTCAGAAAGTCCAGCAGGAGGTCTGTAATCCTTGGTTTTAGGCCTTGGAGGGGAGCTGGGCCTGAGTCTGTCCTTTGTGCCCTACATGTGTTGGGATCAGATGGGAGTCTCTGTCTCCAAAGGGTAACTTGGTGAGCCTGAGTGTCAAGGCTGCCTCATCCAGTGGAGTCAGGGTTGGGGGTCACACACAGGGGGGCCCCCATCTCCCTGCATAGGGGAGCATGCATGGCTGGAGCCCATCTGGCTCTGTGTTGTCTATTCCCAGTCCGTTTGATCAAAGCTCAAGAACTCTAGAGACAGGAAGAGGGAGGCTTTGTGATATAAGCCAATATGCATTGCTTAAAGCTAACTGAAGACATAAGGAAAAGTCCCAGCCAGCTCTGTATATATCCATACATGGAAACAGGGTCAGGCTCAGCCAAAATGGAGGCAATTGCTCCTCTTTCAAGGCGAGTCGCCTAGGTGGTCCTCCACAACTTCAAGCTGGAATAAAGGTCTGGCCAGACCTCTCCCCTGAGCATACAGGTGAAGGGTAGATCTCAACTTTCCTACTTGTCTCTACCCTTTATGACAGCAGTTTCCCTCTGCTCTTTGGCCCAAAGGGACTGTTCTAGGAGAGGTTCAAATGTAGGAATACTGAGGAGTGAAACATATTTTTACAAATTATGAGCCAAATTTTACATAATTTAAAATTTCTAATACAATGAGATGACAATTTGCAAAGCTCATCCAGTGAACTTGACAAAGATGAATCACAAAATAAATTGAGGTAAGATAAGAGAAATGCAATCCTGAGAGCTCTAAAAATTCACAGACAAAATGGAGCAGGTAGAGCACAAAAAGTTAAAACTTAGAAAAATAAAATTTGAAATTGTATTTTTTAAACAAAGACAACAGTCTGAATTTAGAAGAAACTAAATGCAAGAGACCAAATGAGAGGTAAAAATTACAACCAATGGAATTTAGAGAAATTCAGGACACATAATCATGGAGGAACTAATGGGACTGTTACTGACAAGATCAGACATTCATGTCCACCGAGAGTTAGGCTAGCAGGCCCTTTGGGTGTGAAGGTTATTTGAGCTCTTAGTTTGGTCAGCAGGTCTCAGCCCAGGAGGGGTATGGGACAGTCAAGTAAGTAGAGGAATTCATGAGTTATATCATGTCCTCCAAGGTGGCAGGATTGGGGCTAACAGAAAGGCCAGGCTGTCTAGGATCCAGTGGCACCCATGATGGTGATCTTTTTATTGGTGAAGGGTGCCACTGGGGTGGCCACAACTGAATGGTCCACTCTTATATCGACGATGAAAGTTATTGGTTGGTCCCCAATTGTCACTTGGACCATGGGCTCCCAAGGGCTGACATCAAGGACTGTCTGTCCTATCTGAGTCCACTTCTGCAAGTCCAGTCATGTTGGGGGTTGGTGGCTCAAGCTGATAAGGAGAATAGGTGTAACTGGGGGTCCTCCAGTTGAGCATTTCCCCCTTTCTTCCTCCCTTATGTGGTGGTCCTGGTTTCTGAGTTTGATCTGGTCTCTCAAGTGCAACAGCAAGGAGTGAGACTTTTTGTTTCTTTTTTCTGTCTAACTTATACTGGGTTTTGCGGTCCTGGTTGGCAAAGACTTTTGCAGCCATCTCGAGCAGCTAAGTGACATTCATGCCAGCAAATCCTTCTAGCTTTTGGAGTTTTCCTTCAGTGTCAGGAGCAGACTGGGCCACAAAGGCAGCATTGACAGTTCACTGGTTCTCAAGGGTCTCATGTCAATCTGGAACACCTTGTAGAGTCATTCATAGAAGTCTCCAAGTGTCTAGTTGGGCTTTTGAATCACAGAGGCAGACTTGGACATGTCATCAGGCCTTCCACCACCAGCGTGGACCGCCCCACCAGGATGGCCTCCCTCTTCCTCACAAGGGAGGACTTTTTGTCAGAGGTACAAAAGTCCCAGTTTGACTTAGCATCAGGGGCTGCTGCTTTGGCCTAGTCAACTGGATCATGGTCAACCTCCGACTGCAGGAGGTGAGTCACTGTTATGCCACACAGTGTTGCCACAGAACTGCAGGTTAGGGCACACTCAGACTCCATGGTTTGGGGTTTCCTCACTGTGGAGCCACACAACTGAACCAGTTACACTCACACACACACTGAGTCACTCAGAGGTTAAACACTCCTCCCTGGGGAAATCCCTGACTCAGGTCTCTGGTCTGAGACCTTGGGAGGTGGTTAGGCTCCTCTTCTGTCCAATTGGACAGGCCTGACTGGGAATGAGACTGGAACTTGGGGCCTTACCTTGTCCTGAAGTCCTAGGGTAGGGCCAGTCCACTTCTTTCCCAAGTCCAGTCTGGAGAAGAGGGTTGCAGCCATCAGTTGCCCTTGTCCTATGAAGGAGGTCCCGCTGAAAGAGGGCCAGGGTCAGCCCTGCTGTGGAGTCACGTAACAAGGGGGTGCTGTGAAGCAGCTCCTATGGCAAAGGGAGGAGGGGGTGCAGCAAAGCACAGAACATAACAAAACATCACCTGACAGGTGGGGCTCGGGGTTGAGCCCTTGGAGAGGTGAGGTTCCAGGAGGCAGAAATTAAAGGCAGGAAAGTAAGTGGTTTCTGCCAGAAACTGGCTACAGAAATGCAGCTCGGGCTGGGCCCAGGTTCTTGTATTTTCTGTCATCAACAAAGCAGAATGAAGTTCTGTGAAGTGTTTCCCCTTTGCTGTAAATGCTGGCTTTGTGACATGGTGGTGTTGGGAAGTCTGCACTGTGAATCAATGCCAGGTGAACTGAAAATGCATGACAAATGCACATACAGAAGAAATACAGGGGCCAGATTTATAATCATTAAATATACTGAAATTGATAGTTCACATCTGGAGCTCAGTCAGGCCAAGGTGACTTTACAGAAAAATTAGATGCTAGGCAGCAGATTTTCCTAGCTTCCCCAAGTGTGTCCTCTCCAGAGCCACATCCCCAAACCTTTTGTCTGTCTGCCACCATCCTTCCTGGTAAGCCATGACTTTCCTACACTTCTAGTAGATCTGCTAGAAGCCTATTGTACTATTCCCTGGGATCCTGCTGGCATGGTGCTGTGTTTGGGACGGTGGTCCTCCAAAGACCCATGTCTTAGTTACTTTTCTCATTGCTGAGACAAAATGCCTGACACCCAAAGTTAAAGGAGGGAAAGCTTATTTGGCTCACAGTTTGTACTGATTTTGGTCCATAGTTGGCTGGCTTCAAGGCAGGGTGGCAGGGCAGAGGGGCGTTGCAGAGGAGAAGCAGTCCACAGCAAGCAAACAGGCAGAGGGTGCATTAGCTCTTTCTCTTATATTTTGAGCAGGTTACCTGCCCTAGGGTGAGTGTAGTACTCATACCCTTAATCCTAGCTAGAACTATGCCAAGACAATCTTTGGAATGATTTAGTAATCACACACCCTTGATCTCAGTACCACACATTCTAGATCCAGCCACTTCTGAAAAGCTCCCCTCATGACTGCATGAGGCTTTGGAGGGACATCTAGACACAAACCATAACAACCCATTTGGTGAGGGCTTAGTTCCAGCCCATGACACTATTGGGAGGTGGTGGAACACCTTGGTGGTGGGGCCTAGTGGAAGTAAGGTAGGTCACTGGGGGAGTGCCCTTGGACATTGGCACCCCCAGCCATTTCCTCTTCTCTCGCTTCCACACCAGACTATGAGGTAATGGCCTTCTCTGCTATACACTCCTGCATGATGGATGCACTGTACTGCTACACCCTTCATCCAAACCAAGGGGCCTATCAGTCATGAACAGAAACCTTCCAAACTGTGAGCCAAGACAAACCTTTCCTTTTTTTTATTATCTCAGGTATTTGTTGCAGTAACAGAAAGCTGACTGGCACAGGTGTTAAATCCTGCACCCTGGGAAGATGCTTCCACAATGATGATAAACATTTTACCTAGTATTGAGTTCTACTCCAAGCTGATGATCCTTCAATATTCAGCCCATGGATCTCCCTACACTTCTGTATCCTGCAGCTGTTTTATTATGAGTCCAAAGGTCCTTGACTGAATTATGCAGTGACAAACCTCCTCTTTAGCTCAGCTCTTCTTGGTTCAAGAAGAGCTGAACTGGAGCTCTTCTTGCTCTTGCATGCATATGTTCTCTTGCCCCTCCACCTTCCACCATGCCAGGAGAGGAGGGGTAGGCAGATTCTAAGGTCAAGGACATAGGATGTGAATCTCTGCATGATCTTCAAGCAAGGGACACAGCTTGCCCTTCAGAGAGGGATCTGGATCACTCTGTATGCTCAGGGTATGCAAGAGGATCTAAACTCAAATTTTGGTGCCCATTAACCTAGAGGTCCCCATCCATGTTAGGGTCTACTTCTGTCCTGACCAGGGTCCCAATTAGCTTAGCTGCATGGACAGTGGCTGCTCTTAGACCATGGTCTTAACCCTAGCTTCTCTTCTTTCTGGCTAAGGGGTGAGGGACTCTGACCTGGGCTCTCACACCTCAATTTAAGTTGTCAGTTCATAAGGCAGCCTTGTGTATGGCCTATCCCACTCAAATGCCTGGTGCTTTTTGCCAGCTATTGTGTCCTTTTCCTCCAGTGTCCCACTCTGGTCCCCTCCCTCCTGTGCCCCTCTCTTCAGAACCCAGCCTACTGCCATCAGGAGGCTTAACAATCTCATGTAGCCTGGCCAGGGACTGGGTATGCCTCTGCACTACCCAAGCAATGGGGATCCTTTCCAAAATTCCAC